TTGGGCCCAAGATTGGGCCAAGATTGGGCCCAAGATTGGGCCCAAGATTGGGCCCAAGATTGGGCCCAAGATTGGGCCCAAGATTGGGCCCAAGATTGGGCCCAAGATTGGGCCCAAGATTGGGCCCAAGATTGGGCCCAAGATTGGGCCCAAGATTGGGCCCAAGATTGGGCCCAAGATTGGGCCCAAGATTGGGCCCAAGATTGGGCCCAAGATTGGGCCCAAGATTGGGCCCAAGATTGGGCCCAAGATTGGGCCCAAGATTGGGCCCAAGATTGGGCCCAAGATTGGGCCCAAGATTGGGCCCAAGATTGGGCCCAAGATTGGGCCCAAGATTGGGCCCAAGATTGGGCCCAAGATACATTAAGAGATAAAGAAAACAAGCAATGAAATATGGCCACTCAAATCATTCTTACTTCTTTTTCCATATGGTGCTGCACAAATGCTGTATACGAGTCATATCTGTACCACGGTCCATATATATGCAATTGTTGTCCTGACATGGAGCTTGAACTCACATTCTTCTCTTAAGAACTATAGAAAATCTGTTTCAAATTTAAAACGGAATTAAACAACCTGCCAAATTATGAAATGTAATGGAAATAGAGTCAATAGACTTGGGTGCAATTTCTTCCCACATAACTTGCAGAGCGCCTCCTCCCTGAATCTTGTTTTGCAAAACTCTTGTTCAGCTATCATCATGCTCAATATTGATAGAGTTTGAATGGCTTGAAATGAAGTGTGAAAAGATCATTAATGCAAGATCTGCCAACTGTTCAAAAGTCAGTTTTTCTTTACTCAAATAGAGGAACGAGGGCTTGAATCTTCCTTTGCTTATTGTTTAGTCAGATCAAGTAATAACTCAGGTAAGGCACTACTGTGATATGTCCAGTAGAGAGAGCCCTAAACACATGTTTACAAAATAGTGCCAAAAGCTGTTTTTTAGCAGCTAAAATAAGCATTTTATTCAGAATTGCTGAAAATGACCTTTTATAGGTCAAGAGAACTTTCTGATGTAGTGAAGAGAAACACACTTTTATATAAGAAGTTTTGTTTAAAGAGAAAATAAGCTTTATCTTAAGCCAAGTGACAGTATGAATGCATTAAAGTGAAAACAGTACAGTGGGCTCTTTGATGTTATTATTGAGACTAACTCAGATGATAAGGTGCAGACAGTGGTTTTCAATAGCACATAAATTTCTACTTCAGATGATTAATGGAAATTAAAAGTGGTTTACTAGTGTCTTCACCATGTAATATAAATCAACCAGAATAAATCCGAGCCAAGTATTCTGAATATAAATAGGGCTAATTTTGTAGGTATGAGGAAAGATTTAGGTAAAATAGACTGGAGAATAAGATTAACAGGTAAAAATGTAGAACAACAGTGGCAAATATTTAAGGATGTAGTGCAAAATTCTAAGCGGTCGCATATTCCCTTGCGGAATAAGAGTCCCACAGGGAAAGCAATTCATCCGTGGCTAACGAGAGCTGTTAGGGAATGCATCAAATTAAAAGAAAAGGCTCATAAAACTGCCAAGAAAAGCGGCAAATCTGAAGATTGGGAGAGTTTTAGAAACCAGCAAAATAAAACCAAAAATCTCATTAAGAGCGAGAAAAAGGAGGATGAGGGTAAGCTAGCTAGGAACATTCAGTCTGACTGTACAAATATATTAAGAGGAATAGGCTAGTGAGGGTAAATGTAGGTCCACTTCAGTCAGAGACGGGAGAAGTTGTAATGGGGGACAGACAAGGACATGGCAGTGTCCCTGAATGGGTACTTTGCATGTGTCTTCACGCTATAAGACACAACAGGGCTGCCAAGAATAGAGATGCACCAAAGGGATAAGGACAGGGAGCAACTTAGGGAAATTTTCATCAGCAGAGAATTGGTGTTGGAGAAATTGTTAGCACAAAAAGTAACAAGTTCCCTGGTCCGGATGGCTTGCATCCAGGGTTTTAAAAGAGGTAGTTTATGAGATAGTGGAGGCCTTATGTCTGATCTTCCAAAATTCCTTGGATTTTGGAACAGTCCCCATGGATTGGAAGATCGCAAATGTCACAGCACTATTTAAAAAAGGTGGAAAGGAAAAGATGGGAAACTATAGGCCAGTAAGTCTCGCATCAGTGATAGGAAAAATTTTAGAATCATTGATTAAGGATGTGGTAGTGCGGTATTTAGGGAAGCACAATATAATTAGGCCAAGTCAACATGGCTTTACAAAAGGGAAGTCATGTTTGACAAATCTCATAGAGTTTTCTGAGGATATTTCGAGTAAACTAGATAGGGGTGAATCAGTAGATGTGGTCTATTGGACTTCCAGAAGGCATTCGTTAAGGTGCCGCATAAAAGGTTAGTCCAAAAGATAAGGGCCCATGGAATTGGGAGGTGCATATTAAAGTGGATTGGAGAATGGTTAATGGGTAGGAAACAAAGAGTAGGGATAAACGGGTCCTTTTCAGATTGGCTGGATGTGACTATTGGAGTGCCACAAGGATCAGTTCCTTGGGCCTCAGCTATTTACCATCTACATCAATGATCTAGGTGAGGTGAGGTGAAGGGAGTGAGGAAGGAAGTTCCAGAGACTCGGGGCATAGTGGCTGAAGGCATGGCCGCCGAGGGTGGAGCGGAGGACGAGGAGGAGGCCATTCCCGGTCAGAGAGGTAGGGGTGAGAGGAGTGGAGGGATTTGAAGACAAGGGTGAGGATCTTAAAGTCGATCTTCTCTGGACAGGCAGCCAGTGCAGTCTGGCAAGGACTGGGTAATCAGGGAGCAGAGTTTGGTGCGGGTAAGAATGAGGGCGGCAGAGTTTTGGATGACATGGATTTTGTGAATGATAGTGGAGGGGAGACACACAAAGAGAGCATTTGAATAGTGCAGCCGAGAGTTGACAAAGGCATGGACCAGGATTTCAGCGGCTTTTGGAGTGAGGTATGGGCCCAAGGTTGGGCCCAAGATTGGGCCCAAGATTGGGCCCAAGATTGGGCCCAAGATTGGGCCCAAGATTGGCCCAAGATTGGGCCCAAGATTGGGGCCCAAGATTGGGCCCAAGATTGGGCCCAAGATTGGGCCCAAGATTGGGCCCAAGATTGGGCCCAAGATTGGGCCCAAGATTGGGCCCAAGATTGGGCCCAAGATTGGGCCCAAGATTGGGCCCAAGATTGGGCCCAAGATTGGCCCAAGATGGGCCCAAGATTGGGCCCAAGATTGGGCCCAAGATTGGGCCCAAGATTGGGCCCAAGATTGGCCCAAGATTGGGCCCAAGATACATTAAGAGATAAAGAAAACAAGCCATGAAATATGGCCACTCAAATCATTCTTACATCTTTTTCCATATGGTGCTGCACAAATGCTGTATACGAGTCATATCTGTACCACGGTCCATATATATGCAATTGTTGTCCTGACATGGAGCTTGAACTCACATTCTTCTCTTAAGAACTATAGAAAATCTGTTTCAAATTTAAAACGGAATTAAACAACCTGCCAAATTATGAAATGTAATGGAAATAGAGTCAATAGACTTGGGTGCAATTTCTTCCCACATAACTTGCAGAGCGCCTCCTCCCTGAATCTTGTTTGCAAAACTCTTGTTCAGCTATCATCATGCTCAATATTGATAGAGTTTGATTGGCTTGAAATGAAGTGTGAAAAGATCATTAATGCAAGATCTGCCAACTGTTCAAAAGTCAGTTTTTCTTTACTCAAATAGAGGAACGAGGGCTTGAATCTTCCTTTGCTTATTGTTTAGTCAGATCAAGTAATAACTCAGGTAAGGCACTACTGTGATATGTCCAGTAGAGAGAGCCCTAAACACATGTTTACAAAATAGTGCCAAAAGCTGTTTTTTAGCAGCTAAAATAAGCATTTTATTCAGAATTGCTGAAAATGACCTTTTATAGGTCAAGAGAACTTTCTGATGTAGTGAAGAGAAACACACTTTTATATAAGAAGTTTTGTTTAAAGAGAAAATAAGCTTTATCTTAAGCCAAGTGACAGTATGAATGCATTAAAGTGAAAACAGTACAGTGGGCTCTTTGATGTTATTATTGAGACTAACTCAGATGATAAGGTGCAGACAGTGGTTTTCAATAGCACATAAATTTCTACTTCAGATGATTAATGGAAATTAAAAGTGGTTTACTAGTGTCTTCACCATGTAATATAAATCAACCAGAATAAATCCGAGCCAAGTATTCTGAATATAAATAGGGCTAATTTTGTAGGTATGAGGAAAGATTTAGGTAAAATAGACTGGAGAATAAGATTAACAGGTAAAAATGTAGAACAACAGTGGCAAATATTTAAGGATGTAGTGCAAAATTCTAAGCGGTCGCATATTCCCTTGCGGAATAAGAGTCCCACAGGGAAAGCAATTCATCCGTGGCTAACGAGAGCTGTTAGGGAATGCATCAAATTAAAAGAAAAGGCTCATAAAACTGCCAAGAAAAGCGGCAAATCTGAAGATTGGGAGAGTTTTAGAAACCAGCAAAATAAAACCAAAAATCTCATTAAGAGCGAGAAAAAGGAGGATGAGGGTAAGCTAGCTAGGAACATTCAGTCTGACTGTACAAATATATTAAGAGGAATAGGCTAGTGAGGGTAAATGTAGGTCCACTTCAGTCAGAGACGGGAGAAGTTGTAATGGGGGACAGACAAGGACATGGCAGTGTCCCTGAATGGGTACTTTGCATGTGTCTTCACGCTATAAGACACAACAGGGCTGCCAAGAATAGAGATGCACCAAAGGGATAAGGACAGGGAGCAACTTAGGGAAATTTCATCAGCAGAGAATTGGTGTTGGAGAAATTGTTAGCACAAAAAAGTAACAAGTTCCCTGGTCCGGATGGCTTGCATCCAGGGTTTTAAAGAGGTAGTTTATGAGATAGTGGAGGCCTTATGTCTGATCTTCCAAAATTCCTTGGATTTTGGAACAGTCCCCATGGATTGGAAGATCGCAAATGTCACAGCACTATTTAAAAAAGGTGGAAAGGAAAAGATGGGAAACTATAGGCCAGTAAGTCTCGCATCAGTGATAGGAAAAATTTTAGAATCATTGATTAAGGATGTGGTAGTGCGGTATTTAGGGAAGCACAATATAATTAGGCCAAGTCAACATGGCTTTACAAAAGGGAAGTCATGTTTGACAAATCTCATAGAGTTTTCTGAGGATATTTCGAGTAAACTAGATAGGGTGAATCAGTAGATGTGGTCTATTGGACTTCCAGAAGGCATTCGTTAAGGTGCCGCATAAAAGGTTAGTCCAAAAGATAAGGGCCCATGGAATTGGGAGGTGCATATTAAAGTGGATTGGAGAATGGTTAATGGGTAGGAAACAAAGAGTAGGGATAAACGGGTCCTTTTCAGATTGGCTGGATGTGACTATTGGAGTGCCACAAGGATCAGTCCTTGGGCCTCAGCTATTTACCATCTACATCAATGATCTAGGTGAGGTGAGGTGAAGGGAGTGAGGAAGGAAGTTCCAGAGACTCGGGGCATAGTGGCTGAAGGCATGGCCGCCGAGGGTGGAGCGGAGGACGAGGAGGAGGCCATTCCCGGTCAGAGAGGTAGGGGGTGAGAGGAGTGGAGGGATTTGAAGACAAGGGTGAGGATCTTAAAGTCGATCTTCTCTGGGACAGGCAGCCAGTGCAGTCTGGCAAGGACTGGGGTAATCAGGAGCAGAGTTTGGTGCGGGTAAGAATGAGGGCGGCAGAGTTTTGGATGACATGGATTTTGTGAATGATAGTGGAGGGGAGACACACAAAGAGAGCATTTGAATAGTGCAGCCGAGAGTTGACAAAGGCATGGACCAGGGTTTCAGCGCCTTTTGGAGTGAGGTTTGGCCCAAGATTGGCCAGAGCATTGGGCCCAAGATTGGGCCCAAGATTGGGCCCAAGATTGGGCCCAAGATTGGGCCCAAGATTGGGCCCAAGATTGGGCCCAAGATTGGGCCCAAGATTGGGCCCAAGATTGGGCCCAAGATTGGGCCCAAGATTGGGCCCAAGATTGGGCCCAAGATTGGGCCCAAGATTGGGCCCAAGATTGGGCCCAAGATTGGGCCCAAGATTGGGCCCAAGATTGGGCCCAAGATTGGGCCCAAGATTGGGCCCAAGATTGGGCCCAAGATTGGGCCCAAGATTGGGCCCAAGATTGGGCCCAAGATTGGGCCCAAGATTGGGCCCAAGATTGGGCCCAAGATTGGGCCCAAGATTGGGCCCAAGATTGGGCCCAAGATTGGGCCCAAGATTGGGCCCAAGATTGGGCCCAAGATTGGGCCCAAGATTGGGCCCAAGATTGGGCCCAAGATTGGGCCCAAGATTGGGCCCAAGATTGGGCCCAAGATTGGGCCCAAGATTGGGCCCAAGATTGGCCCAAGATTGGGCCCAAGATTGGGCCCAAGATTGGGCCCAAGATTGGGCCCAAGATTGGGCCCAAGATTGGGCCCAAGATTGGGCCAAGATTGGGCCCAAGATTGGGCCCAAGATTGGGCCCAAGATTGGGCCCAAGATTGGGCCCAAGATTGGGCCCAAGATTGGGCCCAAGATTGGGCCCAAGATTGGGCCAAGATTGGGCCCAAGATTGGGCCCAAGATTGGGCCCAAGATTGGGCCCAAGATTGGGCCCAAGATTGGGCCCAAGATTGGGCCCAAGATTGGGCCCAAGATTGGGCCCAAGATTGGGCCCAAGATTGGGCCCAAGATTGGGCCCAAGATTGGGCCCAAGATTGGGCCCAAGATTGGGCCCAAGATTGGGCCCAAGATTGGGCCCAAGATTGGGCCCAAGATTGGGCCCAAGATTGGGCCCAAGATTGGGCCCAAGATTGGGCCCAAGATTGGGCCCAAGATTGGGCCCAAGATTGGGCCCAAGATTGGGCCCAAGATTGGGCCCAAGATTGGGCCCAAGATTGGGCCCAAGATTGGGCCCAAGATTGGGCCCAAGATTGGGCCCAAGATTGGGCCCAAGATTGGGCCCAAGATTGGGCCCAAGATTGGGCCCAAGATTGGGCCCAAGATTGGGCCCAAGATTGGGCCCAAGATTGGGCCCAAGATTGGGCCCAAGATTGGGCCCAAGATTGGGCCCAAGATTGGGCCCAAGATTGGGCCCAAGATTGGGCCCAAGATTGGGCCCAAGATTGGGCCCAAGATTGGGCCCAAGATTGGGCCCAAGATTGGGCCCAAGATTGGGCCCAAGATTGGGCCCAAGATTGGGCCCAAGATTGGGCCCAAGATTGGGCCCAAGATTGGGCCCAAGATTGGGCCCAAGATTGGGCCCAAGATTGGGCCCAAGATTGGGCCCAAGATTGGGCCCAAGATTGGGCCCAAGATTGGGCCCAAGATTGGGCCCAAGATTGGGCCCAAGATTGGGCCCAAGATTGGGCCCAAGATTGGGCCCAAGATTGGGCCCAAGATTGGGCCCAAGATTGGGCCCAAGATTGGGCCCAAGATTGGGCCCAAGATTGGGCCCAAGATTGGGCCCAAGATTGGGCCCAAGATTGGGCCCAAGATTGGGCCCAAGATTGGGCCCAAGATTGGGCCCAAGATTGGGCCCAAGATTGGGCCCAAGATTGGGCCCAAGATTGGGCCCAAGATTGGGCCCAAGATTGGGCCCAAGATTGGGCCCAAGATTGGGCCCAAGATTGGGCCCAAGATTGGGCCCAAGATTGGGCCCAAGATTGGGCCCAAGATTGGGCCCAAGATTGGGCCCAAGATTGGGCCCAAGATTGGGCCCAAGATTGGGCCCAAGATTGGGCCCAAGATTGGGCCCAAGATTGGGCCCAAGATTGGGCCCAAGATTGGGCCCAAGATTGGGCCCAAGATTGGGCCCAAGATTGGGCCCAAGATTGGGCCCAAGATTGGGCCCAAGATTGGGCCCAAGATTGGGCCCAAGATTGGGCCCAAGATTGGGCCCAAGATTGGGCCCAAGATTGGGCCCAAGATTGGGCCCAAGATTGGGCCCAAGATTGGGCCCAAGATTGGGCCCAAGATTGGGCCCAAGATTGGGCCCAAGATTGGGCCCAAGATTGGGCCCAAGATTGGGCCCAAGATTGGGCCCAAGATTGGGCCCAAGATTGGGCCCAAGATTGGGCCCAAGATTGGGCCCAAGATTGGGCCCAAGATTGGGCCCAAGATTGGGCCCAAGATTGGGCCCAAGATTGGGCCCAAGATTGGGCCCAAGATTGGGCCCAAGATTGGGCCCAAGATTGGGCCCAAGATTGGGCCCAAGATTGGGCCCAAGATTGGGCCCAAGATTGGGCCCAAGATTGGGCCCAAGATTGGGCCCAAGATTGGGCCCAAGATTGGGCCCAAGATTGGGCCCAAGATTGGGCCCAAGATTGGGCCCAAGATTGGGCCCAAGATTGGGCCCAAGATTGGGCCCAAGATTGGGCCCAAGATTGGGCCCAAGATTGGGCCCAAGATTGGGCCCAAGATTGGGCCCAAGATTGGGCCCAAGATTGGGCCCAAGATTGGGCCCAAGATTGGGCCCAAGATTGGGCCCAAGATTGGGCCCAAGATTGGGCCCAAGATTGGGCCCAAGATTGGGCCCAAGATTGGGCCCAAGATTGGGCCCAAGATTGGGCCCAAGATTGGGCCCAAGATTGGGCCCAAGATTGGGCCCAAGATTGGGCCCAAGATTGGGCCCAAGATTGGGCCCAAGATTGGGCCCAAGATTGGGCCCAAGATTGGGCCCAAGATTGGGCCCAAGATTGGGCCCAAGATTGGGCCCAAGATTGGGCCCAAGATTGGGCCCAAGATTGGGCCCAAGATTGGGCCCAAGATTGGGCCCAAGATTGGGCCCAAGATTGGGCCCAAGATTGGGCCCAAGATTGGGCCCAAGATTGGGCCCAAGATTGGGCCCAAGATTGGGCCCAAGATTGGGCCCAAGATTGGGCCCAAGATTGGGCCCAAGATTGGGCCCAAGATTGGGCCCAAGATTGGGCCCAAGATTGGGCCCAAGATTGGGCCCAAGATTGGGCCCAAGATTGGGCCCAAGATTGGGCCCAAGATTGGGCCCAAGATTGGGCCCAAGATTGGGCCCAAGATTGGGCCCAAGATTGGGCCCAAGATTGGGCCCAAGATTGGGCCCAAGATTGGGCCCAAGATTGGGCCCAAGATTGGGCCCAAGATTGGGCCCAAGATTGGGCCCAAGATTGGGCCCAAGATTGGGCCCAAGATTGGGCCCAAGATTGGGCCCAAGATTGGGCCCAAGATTGGGCCCAAGATTGGGCCCAAGATTGGGCCCAAGATTGGGCCCAAGATTGGGCCCAAGATTGGGCCCAAGATTGGGCCCAAGATTGGGCCCAAGATTGGGCCCAAGATTGGGCCCAAGATTGGGCCCAAGATTGGGCCCAAGATTGGGCCCAAGATTGGGCCCAAGATTGGGCCCAAGATTGGGCCCAAGATTGGGCCCAAGATTGGGCCCAAGATTGGGCCCAAGATTGGGCCCAAGATTGGGCCCAAGATTGGGCCCAAGATTGGGCCCAAGATTGGGCCCAAGATTGGGCCCAAGATTGGGCCCAAGATTGGGCCCAAGATTGGGCCCAAGATTGGGCCCAAGATTGGGCCCAAGATTGGGCCCAAGATTGGGCCCAAGATTGGGCCCAAGATTGGGCCCAAGATTGGGCCCAAGATTGGGCCCAAGATTGGGCCCAAGATTGGGCCCAAGATTGGGCCCAAGATTGGGCCCAAGATTGGGCCCAAGATTGGGCCCAAGATTGGGCCCAAGATTGGGCCCAAGATTGGGCCCAAGATTGGGCCCAAGATTGGGCCCAAGATTGGGCCCAAGATTGGGCCCAAGATTGGGCCCAAGATTGGGCCCAAGATTGGGCCCAAGATTGGGCCCAAGATTGGGCCCAAGATTGGGCCCAAGATTGGGCCCAAGATTGGGCCCAAGATTGGGCCCAAGATTGGGCCCAAGATTGGGCCCAAGATTGGGCCCAAGATTGGGCCCAAGATTGGGCCCAAGATTGGGCCCAAGATTGGGCCCAAGATTGGGCCCAAGATTGGGCCCAAGATTGGGCCCAAGATTGGGCCCAAGATTGGGCCCAAGATTGGGCCCAAGATTGGGCCCAAGATTGGGCCCAAGATTGGGCCCAAGATTGGGCCCAAGATTGGGCCCAAGATTGGGCCCAAGATTGGGCCCAAGATTGGGCCCAAGATTGGGCCCAAGATTGGGCCCAAGATTGGGCCCAAGATTGGGCCCAAGATTGGGCCCAAGATTGGGCCCAAGATTGGGCCCAAGATTGGGCCCAAGATTGGGCCCAAGATTGGGCCCAAGATTGGGCCCAAGATTGGGCCCAAGATTGGGCCCAAGATTGGGCCCAAGATTGGGCCCAAGATTGGGCCCAAGATTGGGCCCAAGATTGGGCCCAAGATTGGGCCCAAGATTGGGCCCAAGATTGGGCCCAAGATTGGGCCCAAGATTGGGCCCAAGATTGGGCCCAAGATTGGGCCCAAGATTGGGCCCAAGATTGGGCCCAAGATTGGGCCCAAGATTGGGCCCAAGATTGGGCCCAAGATTGGGCCCAAGATTGGGCCCAAGATTGGGCCCAAGATTGGGCCCAAGATTGGGCCCAAGATTGGGCCCAAGATTGGGCCCAAGATTGGGCCCAAGATTGGGCCCAAGATTGGGCCCAAGATTGGGCCCAAGATTGGGCCCAAGATTGGGCCCAAGATTGGGCCCAAGATTGGGCCCAAGATTGGGCCCAAGATTGGGCCCAAGATTGGGCCCAAGATTGGGCCCAAGATTGGGCCCAAGATTGGGCCCAAGATTGGGCCCAAGATTGGGCCCAAGATTGGGCCCAAGATTGGGCCCAAGATTGGGCCCAAGATTGGGCCCAAGATTGGGCCCAAGATTGGGCCCAAGATTGGGCCCAAGATTGGGCCCAAGATTGGGCCCAAGATTGGGCCCAAGATTGGGCCCAAGATTGGGCCCAAGATTGGGCCCAAGATTGGGCCCAAGATTGGGCCCAAGATTGGGCCCAAGATTGGGCCCAAGATTGGGCCCAAGATTGGGCCCAAGATTGGGCCCAAGATTGGGCCCAAGATTGGGCCCAAGATTGGGCCCAAGATTGGGCCAAGATTGGGCCCAAGATTGGGCCCAAGATTGGGCCCAAGATTGGGCCCAAGATTGGGCCCAAGATTGGGCCCAAGATTGGGCCCAAGATTGGGCCCAAGATTGGGCCCAAGATTGGGCCCAAGATTGGGCCCAAGATTGGGCCCAAGATTGGGCCCAAGATTGGGCCCAAGATTGGGCCCAAGATTGGGCAGATTGGGCCCAAGATTGGGCCCAAGATTGGGCCAAGATTGGGCCCAAGATTGGGCCCAAGATTGGGCCCAAGATTGGGCCCAAGATTGGGCCCAAGATTGGGCCAAGATTGGGCCAAGATTGGGCCAAGATTGGGCCCAAGATTGGGCCCAAGATTGGGCCCAAGATTGGGCCCAAGATTGGGCCCAAGATTGGGCCCAAGATTGGTTCCAAGATTGGTTCCAAGATTGGTTCCAAGATTGGTTCCAAGATTGGTTCCAAGATTGGTTCCAAGATTGGTTCCAAGATTGGTTCCAAGATTGGTTCCAAGATTGGTTCCAAGATTGGTTCCAAGATTGGTTCCAAGATTGGTTCCAAGATTGGTTCCAAGATTGGTTCCAAGATTGGTTCCAAGATTGGTTCCAAGATTGGTTCCAAGATTGGTTCCAAGATTGGTTCCAAGATTGGTTCCAAGATTGGTTCCAAGATTGGCAAGATTGTTCCAAGATTGGTTCCAAGATTGGTTCCAAGATTGGTTCCAAGATTGGTTCCAAGATTGGTTCCAAGATTGGTTCCAAGATTGGTTCCAAGATTGGTTCCAAGATTGGTTCCAAGATTGGTTCCAAGATTGGTTCCAAGATTGGTTCCAAGATTGGTTCCAAGATTGGTTCCAAGATTGGTTCCAAGATTGGTTCCAAGATTGGTTCCAAGATTGGTTCCAAGATTGGTTCCAAGATTGGTTCCAAGATTGGTTCCAAGATTGGTTCCAAGATTGGTTCCAAGATTGGTTCCAAGATTGGTTCCAAGATTGGTTCCAAGATTGGTTCCAAGATTGGTTCCAAGATTGGTTCACAGTTACATTAAGAGATAAAGAAAACAATCAATGAAATATGGCCATTCAAATCCTTCTTACTTCTTTTTCCATATGGTGCTGCACAAATGCTGTATACGAGTCATATCTGTACCACGGTCCATATATATGCAATTGTTGTCCTAACATGGAGCTTGAACTCACAATCTTCTCTTAAGATCTATAGAAAATTCGTTTCAAATTTAAAACTGAATTAAACAACCTGCCAAATTATGAAATGTTAGGGAAATAGAGTAAATAGACTTGGGTGCAATTTCTTCCCACATAACTTGCAGAGAGCCTCCTCCCTGAAACTTGCTTTGCAAAACTCTTGTTCAGCAATCATCATGTTCAATATTGATCGAGTTTGAATGGCTTGAAATGAAGTGTGAAAAGATCATTAATGCAAGGGTTGCCAAATGTTCAAAAGACAGTTTTTCTTTACTCAAATAGAGGAACGAGGGCTTGAATCTTCCTTTGCTTATTGTTTATTCAGATCAAGTAATAACTCAGGTAAGGCACTACTGTGATATGTCCAGTAGAGAGAGCCCTAAACACATGTTTACAAAATAGTGCCAAAAGCTGTTGTATAGCAGTTAAAATAAGCATTTTATATAGAATTGCTGAAAATGACCTTTTATAGGTCAAGAGAACTTTCGGATGTAGTGAAGAGAAACACACTTTTATATAAGAAGTTTTGCTTAAAGAGAAAATAAGCTTTATCTTAAGCCAAGTGACAGTATGAATGCATTAAAGTGAAAACAGTACAGTGGGCTCTTTGATGTTATTATTGAGACTATCTCAGATGATAACGTGTAGACAGTGGTTTTCAAGAGCACATAAATTTCTACTTCAGATGATTAATGGAAATTAAAAGTGGTTTACTAGTGTCTTCACCTTGTAATATAAATCAACCAGAATAAATCTGAGCCAATTATTCTGAATATAAATAGGACTAATTTTGTAGGTATGAGGAAAGATTTAGGTAAAATAGACTGGAGAATAAGATTAAGAGGTAAAAATGTACAACAACAGTGGCAAATATTTAAGGATGTAGTGCAAAATTCTCAGCGGTCGCATATTCCCTTGCGGAATAAGAGTACCACAGGGAAAGCAATTCATCCGTGGCTAACTAGAGCAGTTAGGGAATGCATCAAATTAAAAGAAAAGGCTTATAAAACTGCCAAGAAAAAAGGCAAATCTGAAGATTGGGAGAGTTTTAGAAACCAGCAAAATAAAACCAAAAAACTCATTAAGAGCGAGAAAAAGGAGGATGAGGGTAAGCTAGCTAGGAACATTCAGTCTGACTGTACAAATATATTAAGAGGAATAGGCTAGTGAGGGTAAATGTAGGTCCACTTCAGTCAGAGATGGGAGAAGGTATAATGGGGGACAGACGAGGACATAGCAGAATCCCTGAATGGGTACTTTGCATCTGTCTTCACCCTAGAAGACACAACAGGGCTGCCAAGAATAGAGATGCACCAAAGGGATAAGGACAGGGAGCAACTTAGGGAAATTTTCATTAGTAGAGAATTGGTGCTTGAGAAATTGTTAGCACTAAAAAGTAACAAATTCCCTGGTCCTGATGGCTTGCATCCAGGGTTTAAAAAAGAGGTAGTTTATGAGATAGTGGAGGCCTTATGTCTGATCTTCCAAAATTCCTTGGATTTTGGAACAGTCCCCATGGATTGGAAGATCGCAAATGTCACACCACTATTTAAAAAATGGTGGAAAGGAAAAGATGGGTAACCATAGGCCAGTAAGTCTCACATCAGTGATAGGAAAAATTTTAGAATCATTGATTAAGGATGTGGTAGTGCGGTATTTAGGGAAGCACAATATAATTAGGCCAAGTCAACATGGCTTTACAAAAGGGAAGTCATGTTTGACAAATCTCATAGAGTTTTCTGAGGATATTTCGAGTAAACTAGATAGGGGTGAATCAGTAGATGTGGTCTATTGGACTTCCAGAAGGCATTCGTTAAGGTGCCGCATAAAAGGTTAGTCCAAAAGATAAGGGCCCATGGAATTGGGAGGTGCATATTAAAGTGGATTGGAGAATGGTTAATGGGTAGGAAACAAAGAGTAGGGATAAACGGGTCCTTTTCAGATTGGCGGGATGTGACTATTGGAGTGCCACAAGGATCAGTTCTTGGGCCTCAGCTATTTACCATCTACATCAATGATCTAGGTGAGGTGAGGTGAAGGGAGTGAGGAAGGAAGTTCCAGAGCCTCGGGGCATAGTGGCTGAAGGCATGGCCGCCGAGGGTGGAGCGGAGGACGAGGAGGAGGCCATTCCCGGTCAGAGAGGTAGGGGGTGAGAGGAGTGGAGGGATTTGAAGACAAGGGTGAGGATCTTGAAGTCGATCTTCTCTGGGACAGGCAGCCAGTGCAGTCTGGCAAGGACTGGGGTAATCAGGGAGCAGAGTTTGGTGCGGGTAAGAATGAGGGCGGCAGAGTTTTGGATGACATGGATTTTGTGAATGCTAGTGGAGGGGAGACACACAAAGAGAGCATTTGAATAGTGCAGCCGAGAGTTGACAAAGGCATGGACCAGGGTTTCAGCGGCTTTTGGAGTGAGGTATTGGCCGAGACGGGCGATGCATCGGAAGTGGAAGAAAGCGGTGCTGGTGAGGGACCGGATGTGGGGGAGGAAGGATAATTGGGGGTGGAACCTCACTCCTACGTTGCGTACTGAAGCTTCTCTATTTGCTTTAATTTAAATGGCAATTAGTAGTACCTGTCATTGTGGAAGAACTCATTAGTCAAGTTACACCTAGTTATAGGGACTTGCATTCATTAGTGAGGATTGAACACAGAGACTACCCAGTACACTGCGAGGAAGAGCGAGCCATATCGTGGGTGTATATATAAGGGTGATAGAACTGTCTAAATACAGTTTGTACAAAAAATAATCTCTCAACCTTTTGATTGACTTAAATTATATGCCTTCCTACCACAGCCCTTTAATAGTTATTGTAAACATTTCTTCATGAAAGAGAGATGAAAAGGAGTTTCACTGAAGACCAATAACATTTTTAAAGTTTATATTAGATCGGTTCTGACATGATAAGGAACCATAATACCTTGCCAAACGCTTATCAAAACTGAGACGTCTCCGCACTCCATCATTTCAATGAGCACAAGAATTCTTTTTAAAATTATATTTCGTCATATTATCAGGACTGATCATTGACATATGGGTAGAGTGGGCGGGGAATCATATACTAATCTGAGAGAAAGTGAGAGAGAGTCTGAGGAAATCTATCTGATTTACACAGATAAAGTTACCCCCCTCTACAAAAAGGGGCAGAAAGACAAACCCGGAAATTACAGCCAGTCTAACTTCGGTAATAGGAAAACTACTGGAGACCATAATCCGGGACACAATAAATCTCTATTAAGAGGAACATGAGGTAATTAGAGACAGCCAACATGGATTTGTTAAAGGCAAATCTTGCCTAACAAATCAATTAGAATTTTTTGAAGAGGTGACTGCGAGGGTTGATGAGGGAAATGCGGTGGATGTTATTTACATGGATTTCAAAAAGGCTTTTGACACAGCACCACATAAGAGATTAATAAAAAAAATTAGAGGCCCATGGTATTAAGGGAACAATGGCAGCTTGGATTAAGAACTGGCTGAGTGACAGAAAGCAGAGGGTGGTGGTTAATGGGTGTTTCTCGAAATGGAAGGAGGTATGCAGCGGTGTCCCCCAGGGATCGGTATTGGGACCACTGCTCTTTCTAATATATATTAATGATCTGGACTTGGGTATAGAGAGCACTATTTCCAAGTTTGCAGATGATACAAAGTTAGGCAGGGTAGTAAATAATGAGGAGGACTCTAACCAACTGCAAGCAGACATACACAGCATGGTAGAATGGGCTGACATGTGGCAGATGGATTTCAATGTGGATAAGTGTGAGGTGATACACGTAGTTGGGAAGAACAATAGGAGGCAATATAGACTTGGTAGCTCAATCTTAAGGGGAGGTGAACGTACAGAGAGAACTGGGAGTTCAAGTAAGCGAATCATTAAAGGTGGCGGGAGAGGTAGAAAAGGCAGTAAAAAAGGCATTTGGTGTACTGAGCTTTATTCGTAGGGGCATAGAGTATAAGAGTCGGGAGGTTATTGTTAATGTATACAAAGCACTGGTTAGACCTCAGCTGGAGTACTGCGTCCAGTTCTGGGCACCTTACTTCAGGAAGGACATTAAGGCACTGGAGAGGGTGCAGAGGAGATTCACGAGAATGATACCAGGAATGGTGAACCTTAGCTATGAGGACAGGCTGGAGAAGTTAGGACTTTTACCATTAGAGCAGAGAAGGTTACGCGGGGACCTGATAGAGGTCTTCAAGATCATGAAAGGTTTCGACAGGCTAGATAAGGAAAAGCTGTTTCCGCTGGTAGGTGTGTCCGTGACCCGTGGTCACAGTCTTAAGATATCTACCAAAAGAAGCAAAGGGGAAGTTAGAATAAATTTTTTCACTCAGTGAGTTGTTCGAATTTGGAACGATTTGCCTGAAAGGGTAGTGATGTCCGATTCAATAATAGCTTTTAAGAGGGAACTGGATAGGTATCTGGTAAAGACGGGTTTGAAGGGTTATGGGGAGAAAGCTGGTGATTGGGGTTAGTGAAAGTACTTGCTCTATCAAAGAGTCGGCACAGACTCGATGGGCCGAATGGCCTCCTTCTGTGCCATAACATTCTATGAATCTATGAATAGGTTCAAAGATAGATTCCAAGTTTCAGTTTTTACTGAGGAGCAGACAGGTAACCCATCTGATCTGGAAAGAGAACTCAAAGGATGCCACAGAGGAAATTTGCAATACTATTCATATCACTACCAGCACTACCAGAGCGTACCAGGGGACTGGAGAAAAGCAGATGTTACTCCTATTTGTAAGTAAGGCAACAAAAGTGACCCAGGAAAGAAGACCACTAAATTTGACCTAGAGCATGGTTGTACAAGGAATGTCATTAGACAACATGGAAAAATGTAAGCT